TTTCTTCTGTGGAACACAAAAGAGAATATTTTGAAGAGTGTTGGTAACCAAACAGTTTTGGTTAACATTGACGTCCAGTGTATGGACAAAAACATTTCTCAAAATATCTTCTTATATGTTCCAAGGAAGAAAAAGTTAGATTTGGAACAACATGAAGGTGTGTAAATGATGACAGAATTTAAATTTTTGGGTGAACTAACTCTTTAACATGCATGTCATGGAAACTGAACCCCAGTCTATAAGGTCCCTGGAAATCAAACCCTTAACTTTGGCCTTACAAGTGCCATGTTCTTGAGCTATAGGAACACTAGACAGTTCAGAGCGCTCTTTCTCACTCTGTCCAGTCTCTTCTCCATGAAGAGCAGCAGAGTGTGAACACAGTCCATGTTGACTCCGCCGGACTCCTTCGAACCTTCAGATAGGCGAACGGATAGCAGAACATCCAGGCACTGCAGAGGGAGCGCTGAGAGCACATTCACTGTGTGTCTGTGGATATTCAGCACAGAAGTGTTATAGAGATCAATAGGACGAGACCTCTCAAGACTCACAGTGGTTTGATTCTTACTCTCACCCTTGCAGCTCCTCTTTTCTATCCTCTCCCTCACAGGGCACGAGCAGACAGTGACGCAGGACTGCAGCTAGGTGACGATACAAATCTGCAGCCTCCTGTGGCAGAAGGAGAACCAAAACATTGACAGTAAAATTAATTTCTTAACAGAGGCCTGTCCTGTTATGGTATGTTTTGGTTCTCCTTCTATACATACATATGTGTGTGTGTGTGTGTGTGTGTGTGTGTGTGTTAGTGTGTGTGTGTGATCAAATTAAGAATTATTTTCCATTACTTATTCATTCATTCATTCATTCATTAAATCCACCTCATGTCAGGTAAATTTAGGCCACATTGTACGAATTCATTACCAGTGTTGGCGAGTAACTAGATACATGTAACAGAATTATGTAATTTAATTACAAAATAAATGTAACTGTAAAAAATGTGTAATTAAATTACAGCAACTTATGAACGATTACAAAGGGGGTTGCATCTGAATATTTTCACATACATACAGATTTGATTGATTTCTTTCCCAAATTGCACTGACTTCTCCAAAATATGAGACACCAATGTTTCAGGAGTTTAGGACACAGAAGAGGGCACATGCTTATTTGATAACTGCTTTATTTCCTATTTGGGCTTGTGTATATGCTTTATTTTTTTAATTAACTGTTTTTTTCCCCCAAGGCATTGTTAGATGCCTGATTATTTGCAAAGCAAAGATTTGATTTCAAAAACAGTATCATAGCTATTAAACTACATTTTGTTATGATTTTAAATCTGCATTTAACCTCAGAATGACATCAAAGTAAAGATAGGTGCAAAAGTCTGATTTTGTGATGGCTGTGCTTTAAAATGTAATTATTATAATATTAATTCAAGTGATGAAGGATTTTGAAAGTCTGACAATAATCAGTGTTGAGTGCTACTGTAAGGTTAACCCTGTCTGCTTTAAATGATTGAAAATGGTTAACAGTTTAGAAAAATGTAGAAAGAAATCAAATATTTGAATTTTGAAAAGTAATCTAAAAGTAATCATTTACATTATGTTAACAAAGTAATTGAAATACTTATTACATTTGAAATAGGGTAACTCGTCATCTGTAACCTACCACATTTCCAAAGTAACCTTCCCAACACTCATTTTGGTTTAGTTAAATTGTGGCCACGAATCATGAAAATCTTGTTTTTATCTCCCTGCATGACATGTACAGGGCTCCGTGCTTTTCATGTTTAACTAACAGTTTTATTTACATCATCCTCCAGAAAGTGATATAATTTTTGGGGTTGGAACACAGCATCAGTTAGTATTAGCATTCGATTGATATGCGATGATATGTGAAGTTTTGTGCTGTTTGATAGTTTGTTCAATTCCATTCTGTTCATACAAAAAATTACAGTTATCTTTATGTTTGATCATCCGTAATATAGAAATTTCAGAAAAAGGTTAAAAATATATCAAAATAAACAATGGCTTAGCTCCTTAGCTCTTTATGTCCATCTTGTTAATAATTCTGTAATTCTGTAACACTGTGTAAATAGAGTTAATAATGGAATGACCCAGCTGCGGTCATTAGGGGTTAAAGAAATAGCAAAAAAAAGCAGCATTTACCTCATCTACTTCCTGTCTGTGCACACTGTAGGTAATGTTGAACAGGGTCTTGAGAATCTCAAGGGCGTGCTGAGTCACCTCCTTACACACAGGGGGTGCTGTGAGGTCAGTCAGCACCTCATGCGTTTCACCCCAGCACACTTCCAAACACTGTTCCAGAGCAGCAGTCAGCATGGACACGCTGTGCTCCTGACAGGAAGAGCACACAGAATGAGTCTCTGAAATGCCCACAGAAAGGAAACAGGCAGTTTTGTGTTCTCCTAACACTTTCCTTTTTGTGGCCTTGATGACTAGGTGGTCTACACACTGATACTGCAGGGGTCCTCTAACTGTTGTTTTATTTCAAATGAATTGTTTTATAAAATTTGCATTCTACAAAAATATAAGTACATTTCAAACGGAATTAAAGTTAAAAGATAAAGTTCAGTTAAATGTTTAATTGTTTCAACACTTTAGAATACTGTTCCGTTGTTAATTAATAACTACACAGGAACAAATTACTAATGCACTATTAACATTGAAGTAACTACTAGTACCTAACAAGAAACTGATTAACGATTTAGTAAGTAATAGTGCTCAGTTGAAACTGGTAGTTCACTATTAGCTAATCAATAACAATGCCTACTATTTTTTCATATATCCTGGAGAACTACTGTATACATGTTCATAATTAATGTGAATTGTGCATAATGTATAATTAATTCTAAATTGAAGATCATGGTAACCCACTAGTAATGACTCAAGTATTACCAAATCTTACTAAAGGAACTACTGATTACTTGGATCAGTATTCTAAAGTGAAAAGCATCATAACTCCCTAATATTGACTGACGTCATTGTAAGCTTTTGAGATATATGAAAGGTTTTGGATAGTAGTGACTCAAGTGTTGCTACATCCTTCTGAAGAAATTACTAATTATTTGGATCAGTATTCTAAAGTGAAATTCTACAGTAACCCACTAATAATGATTTAAGTGTTACCAAATCTAGCAAAATGAATAGTTTACAGAACCCTCAAAAGCTTACAATGATTTCAGTCATTACTAGGGAGTTATCATGATCTTCACTTTAGAATACTGATCCAAATAATTTGTAATTCCTTCTGAAGAATTTGGTAGTACTTGAGTCATTACTAGTGGGTTACCGTGACCTTCACTTTAGAATGAATTATACATTATGTATTATTCAATTATGAACCTGTATACAGTAGTTCTTAGTAGTTCAGGGAGGTATGAAAAAAATTGTGGAACTACCACATTCGACTAAGCACTATTACTTAATAATTCAATAATCAGAGTTTCTTGTTAGATACTAGTAGTTACTAGAGTGCTAATATTGCATTACTCATGTGTTCTTGTTTAGTTATTCATTACCGATGGAAAAGTATTCTAAGGTGTTACCAAAAAATTGAATGGGGAGTCCCGGCTCCATCTTTCTGTCCACCAAGCGTTCATTAGCCTGAAAAAATGTGTACTCCAACAATCCAATAAACTTTGCAAAATGTATTTTTACAGTGTATGTATCACCAACAATACCTAATTCCATATTTGTATCATTGATTGTTACCTGGCGGAGCTCTATCCTAAGCTCAGGCCGTAAAGCAGTCAACAGAAAGAGAAGTCGCAGTTCATAAAACTGACCACTTGGAGGTGAGGAGGAATGTATACCATCTTTAAGTCTCTCTGACAGGCCATGGAGCAACCTGGTGAAGAAAACAAAGCACAAGAGAATGAGAGAGTGAGGTTTCTATAATGATATTGAAATATTTATCGACACCGTACTTGGCAAATGCTCCACATGTAACAATTTGAGCCACACCTCAGGATGCTGGCTCTCTCTTGTGCTTTCGGGCTATTGTAGATGACATTGCACAGGGCCTTCATCGCCTCTTTCCTCCAGACCTCTCCATCATCATACTCCTCCTCCCCCTCCTCATTCTTCTCTCTTCTAGCATCCCTCTTTCCTCTTGTCAACAGCCCACAGACCCCATCTTTCCTCACGTTTTCTTCACGGCGGTCGTTTTGTGTTTCTCTCCCAATATTACAGTTAGATGTCACATTCACAGGGTTGAACTGCAAGCCTCCTTCACTGACCAAAGGTTTAGCACAGGCTGCAGAGACACAGACTGAATCATCTCTCTCCCTGTAACCAGTCGTGTGTTGTGTATTGCTGCCATTATTATCCGGACGTGTCTCTGTCTCATTCTCAGGAGTGATGTCACTGTGGGAGGAGCCCCACTCAGCCTCCTCTTCTTCAGGCCAGGTAGGCAGGGCGGAGATGCCCCCGAGTCGAGCAAGAGTTAGAATGGCATTGTCCGTGATCAGGGGTGCCAAGGCCTTTCGATCGCGCGAGATAATTCGCAGAGTTCGCAGACACACCCTCAAAACTCCTGGCTGCAGCCGCATGCGAATGAACCAGATCAGAGCTGCAGCAAGCCTCTGGAAGAGACAGAGAGGAAAAAGTTTTTAGCATTGTATTTGATGGGAATATATAATCAAATACAACATGGCCAAACATATGTAGACAAGCTTTCTAATTGTCAATGTAAGGAACTGAAATTCAACTATAATTTTTAACGATAGATAGATAGATAGATGTAATTAACTATTTTGGACCGATTTGAATGTAAGGAACTGAAATTCAACTGTAATTTTTAACTAGGGCCTATAGATAGATAGATGGAACAATAGATAGGAAGGAAGAAAACTCTTCAATTTTGAATTTGGAAAATTAACTGGAATATATGGATGTGGTGCTGGGTTGTGCTTTTGGCCATATTTTATTAACGAAGTTGTAAGGAAAGAAGTTTGACTCACCTTCCGCAGAACAAGATTTGGATCCTCATTCTCATCAGAGTCCAAATCTGAGTCAGAGTCTGGAACATACTCTCTCACTTTATTCCTGCGGAACTGAGTGAAGAACAAACATTCACAAGTGACAAGAGAAAGAGAGGTAAACAAGCAAACAACAAAAAAACATAAGCTTTTGCAATAATGAGAGGTGACATGGAAAAGAATGAAGTCAGTGTCTGCCCTTCAAACTCAAGATTCAGATTTAAACCATGGTCTGCTTCTTTACATATAAACAACAGAACTTTGAAGTTCACTGAAGACTATTAAAGGCTTTTGGTACAAACCTTCACCACAGAGGAGAGATTACAAAAGCTTTAATTTATAAAAGCTTTACTTTGTGAGCCCGGGCATCATGAAGAGTGTAAAGCCCCGTTCACACCAAGCAAGATAACTATAAAGATAACGTTAAAGATATAGTTCTAAAAATCATTCTCAATCTTAAAGAATAGCAGAGTCCACACCACAACTATAACGATAAAGACAAAGAAAAACGATATCATTTGAATCACTTTCAAAACGATTTTTCTCCAGCTGATGAACGATAAAAAATGGACAGCCAATCAGAATCCATCCTGCTGTAACGAGCTCGAGAATTTAAAGCGCTTAGAATAAACACACGATATTGTTCGCTGGTGTGGACGCTAATATCATTATCTGTATAGCTAGTTATCGTTCTTGGTGTGAACAGGGCTTAACAGTGTAAATGGCTCTTGCGAATGCATGAGAACCAATAAATTATCTTTTTGACACACGGCACAATAATTGGTGCTTAGTAACAACAAAATAATGAGCTCAAAAGAGTTTACAGGCACATCCGACACAGACGCTCTGGGTATCGGTATGTACAGGGGCCCCAGGGTGAGATAGACAGCGAGTATATTAGATTCAGATTACACACCTCTCTTGTTTTTCTTCCCCACAGACGTCTCACTCGCTTCTTTATTTATCTACAGCAAATACCTGCTCTTTTTCTGTAGGTCATGTGAAAGATTTACCTCTTCCAGCTCTCTTTGCTGTTCTCATTTCAGCCGAGAATAATGAGTATGTGACAAAAAGAGAGAAATCATGATTAAAAACATGCTTGTGAGTATTATATAGCCTACACCAAATGAATGAGATGAGGGTGAAGTGAGGGATAAAGATAAGTGAAGGTGGATGAGTGAGATTTACATTATTAGCTGTGTTAATCCAAGCCATGTGTGCCCTCGGAATGAGGGCAGACAGATAAACACTCAAACATTAGCACAGACTTTAGAATTTACCTTTCTTCTCTCTCTTTCTTCTACATCAAAAAAGAAACATTGTGAGTTCTGTGAATACCAAAGGGAGAATTAAAAGGTGAAATATATGAGGCAGCAGGATTTGAAGGCTCTGCAAATGCTAGACATATTAAAACTTCACCACACTGCAGAAATTGTAAAATTACTGGATAAGTAATGAGAAACACCCTTCAGGTTTACCCCAGTTTTGTTGTCATGGAAACTGCTAATATCTGAGTGTTATAGAAGTAGTAGTAGATTCTAACAGTTTTTTTTTCTGGCACAGTGATCATATTAAGCACAGTATTAATCTTATTATATTTAATTAAAATTCAGCATTGTGCTTGAAATTGTATTTACCTCAGTGTTGTAATCATCCAGATGTATTTGGACATTGTCCTGGTTGCCTTGCTTGATAAACTGAATAATCTTCTCCACGTCCACAGGCATTCTTAATAATTAATAATCAACCAAATATAAAATATGTTAACTTTTGTGAAGAATATAATATTAGAGACACATTCATATTCCTGCACGTACCCTGCACGTAAAATAAATGATAAAATTAACTATCACTATCACCATTTTTTTCAGAGTAATCTAAAAACATGTTGAGTAATGTTTTTAAAACATACCATATTTATTTAATGCATTTTCATCTATAATCCCCCCACCACCACCTAAAAATGTAATTAAATTTGATCATCATTTACTTACAGTTGTACCAAACATACATGACTTTCTTACTTCTGTGCAACACAAAAGAAAATTATATAGAAAAATGTTGTCAACTACACAGTTGATGCCCAATCTGCCCATTTCTTCTATTGTTATTTAAATTAGAAATTAGACATTTCTCAAAATATGTTATTTTAAATTCAGTAGAAGACAGACAGCCATACTGGCTTGGAATGACAAGAGGGTGAGTTCATTATGACATAATGTTAATTTGTGTTTGAACTGCCTATTCCTTTTAAGTCAGAAATTAATAGGATAGATTTATGATATATATTAAGCCATTAGACTACTCTTATAAAAAAGATTTTAATATCAAAAGGGTAGCATTTATGTGACAGTATCCAATTAATCCCTTGTAGCCAACCATCCCTGGTCTCCCCATCTCTTTAGTGTAACAGAGTAGCCTATGATATTTATTAGAAGTTAATTCGGGTCTTTCCATCTATATGCGTTGTGTAGAAAATGGAAAACTGGTTGATTAATTAAATTAATTAATTTAATACCATTATATCATATAATTAATTAATTTGTAACACTGCTCGTCTTTCAACAGGCGTCATGATAAGGAACAGTGTCCCCTTCCTGCGGCAGACTGGAGCAGCTGCTCAGAATGGAGAGAGAGGCACTGCCAGAAGCACTGTTGCAAAGAGAGGCATTGTAGAGCAGTGCTGTAATTTCTACTGTGACTATTACGACCTGGAGAATTACTGTAACACATAGAGAGTCTGCTGCATGCACTTCACCTGAGTAAATAACTTGCATTATTTAAGTACTGCAGGTCTGGGATAAGGTAGGCCTATTTGGATGATACCAACCTAATTATGAACAGCAGTGAATGAAGGATCACTCGAAATGTTACACAGTGGGCATGTTTATGATTAAAATGTTTGCATATATTAAAAAATAAATCTGACTGTTTTTGTTTGTGTTGCACAATACAAAGGGTAGGATGTTATAGCAACACCAAGGAGATGGGTTTGATTCCCCGGGAATGCATGAACTGATAAAAATGTATAGGCCTATACCTTCAATGCAACGTAGGCTAATTCATAAAAAATAAAAGTGCATAAAAAATGAAAGCATTATTGAAAACAATACAAATGTTTATGACAAAAAAAGGACACAAAGCAAAATGTTTTCAAGATAGTTTGTGAACTTAATAATGTGAACGGTTAAAACTTTTTATTATGAAAAATTAACCATCATGAAAGTGCCAAACAAAAACCTAGTCATTATTCGGTTGCATTTAAAGACCAATTTAAAAACAAATACTGTATATATATATATATATATATATATATATATATATACTGTAATAGCACTATTTCAAAATCACTTGAGTATCAGGCTCAAACAATCACATATATTAGACCAACAAAAAAAATCAACTACATGACATTTATTAATTAATATAAATGTTAATGCAATTTGATCATTTAACCCTAAATTATATATATATATATATATTACAAAGTAATTCCCATTCACCTCTGATTTGCATCGTCACCTCCACAGAAATAGTCTTTGATGAAAGACATCATTTCCCATAAGCCCATGCCGGTAGTTTCACAGAAGGGGAAGCAAAATGTCGGAATCGGATGGGAGGGCCTCTTATTGTGTTCCTTAAAGAAAAATGTTTCGTGCCTCGTTTTAAAGTGAACAAAAACACTGTGGCGGGTTTTAGCAGCTCATCAGCTTTGGGATTCATCAGCCAGCTCATCTCTGCACTATGAAGGTAAACGGCTCTCATAGCTTGTCTAACTTAGCTAGCCAGCTAACCCCTCTGGGCGACAAATTGTAGGCTATAAATTATTGCAAGAAGGTTGCTTAAAATGAAGCGCAGATGAGAAAGTCAGCTAGTAATACTCAGTGCAGTCGGAATGAGACGTGCAGTATAGTATTGGTGGTTATTAAATGACAGATAACAAGTGAGCACATAGGCGAACACTGCAGTGGAGCACACGTACTAGATAGCATCGTCTCTAGCAACATCTTACATCAGTTTCGTTCACTGCACACGATCAGTGCTGTCACTGGGTCAAGAATCGAAGGCACAGTGTTGAATGTCAATACAGATCAAGCTTTCTCATCAGTTTACTCGAGCAATCAAGTTGCCCTGAGTGCTCTTCGAGTTAAAGGCTGAGATTCAATGCAGAAGTAGTTTTCTCCCTTCACTCAGGTATGGTTATCATAACGGGTGAAGCTTTATGATGCTGATGCTGAGGCCCAGAGCTGATGTTTCAGATCAAGGTTATTTATTAACAACAGTGTTGTCTGCTATGTGTAGATGGGAACAGATGGACAGGCTGAAAAGGACAAAGGAGAAATTGTTCCAGGCAAGGTAAGTGTCATATCATCTTGTTAGTGTAGAAACAGGTTGGACAGTCACTGTGATCATATATGTATTGTAGATCATAAGATTAAGATTCAGCATGCACAGCACTCTCTGCTGAATATGCTTAATGCCTTCTGTCTTGTCTTCTTGTAGTCACAATCTGAACAATGTCCTAATGAAGAGGAGGAAGTGGAGTCTAAAGCAGACAGAAGGACAGTTGGCTTAAGATGTTTCCAAGGAAACAGAGAGACCTCGGAGGATGAGCCTAGTGAACTGGTAAAATTATTTAGGCGATTTGCATAAGTTATTAAGTTCAGTCCTGTTACATGCTTTGTCTGTCTGCAATTTACCCGTTTTGAAATCGGTGACCTGAGGTGATCCTCGAATCATTTAATTTTTGTTACACTCTTGTAGGGGGCTGCTGTTGTTACTTCGTCTGAGTCTGTATTTCTTGTGCCTCCGCTCATCTCACAACCTCAGTACCTGGACTGGTAAGTGCTTAATTCAGCACATACAGTTCAAAATTGAGCATGATAGCACCAAAATTGGACTTAGTTTGCTTTTTATTTACTTTGAGGGATGTGAGTGTTTTGTCTCAGTGATGTACTTGTTGATTGCTTGTTGAAGCGGTGTTTAATTGTCTTTGAAAGGTGCTGGCCTATAAAGGAAAAGCGTAGTACACATTTGATCAAAAGTTTGTTATGACCACAACTGGGTCCATTAGACTGTCAATTCAAGTCAAGTCACCTTTATTTACATAGCGCATTATACAATACAGATTAGTGTTGTCAAAAGCACCGACCGCAATACCATTCGGTACTGAAATTTTAAAAACATCCATTGTTCACACACTCAACAGATATGACTGTGATTGGCTACAATGATCATCTGCTCAACAGCGCTCAAATTTTAGCGGGAAATGGTCGTTTTTAAAATTTCAGTACCGAATGGTATCGTGGTCAGTACTTTTGACAACACTAATACAGAATGTGTCAACGCAGCTTTAAAACAGGAAACAGCTTGTTAAACAGGAAAATAGTGTGTCAATAATGCAGGAGGACTATAGTAAACATAAAATTTTTCCGTTAAAGTCAGTTAATTTTTGATTCAGTGATGTTATCGTTCAGCTCAGTTCAGCTCTCTTCCAATAGTGTCTTTGCAATCAAGCTGACAATATTGCCAGAAATTAATTAATTCCAGGCTGCAACACAAGTCAGATTTATAATTTATTCCTGTGATTTCAAAGCTGAATTGTTAGCATCATTACTCCAGTCACATGATCCTTCAGAAATCATTCTAATATTCTGAGAAAAAC